CTGTTAGTTCCTTTTTCTTTTAGTTTTTGTTGTTGGTGATATTAATTAATTTTTAAAAGAGTTATAAAACTCCACAAATACATTATATGTAAATACAAATATATGCATCTGAGGAAAAAAATGTAGTATATACAAGTAATCAAAGTAAAAAATGAACAAAGGTATTTATCATCTCACATAAAGGGAAAAAGAGGATAAAGAGTATAGTAATCAGAAAATGCATAAAATATCATATCCATAAACCAAAAAGTTATTACAATAAATGAGACAAAATAATGTATTAAAATAGTGACTATTGAATAAGCTGTCAATTATATGCTATTGAAAACAAGTATCCCAGACCTCTTGGGAGGAAACTGAGACACATCAGCAGTACAAAATGGAGCCAGTAAATATTGAGGATGTGGCAGTGAACTCCGCCTCAGAAGAGTGGGCTGTGTTGGATTCTAGTCAAAAGAATCTCTACAGAGATGTGATGAAGGAAACATTTTCTAACCTGATCTCCATAGAAAAAAACACTAGAAGAAAATATTGAAGAGGACTATAAAGACCTCAGCAGGAATATGGAGATCCAGAGGACTGAGAAAGACCATGTAAATGAATGTCATAATGAGTGTGATAAAAACCAGCAACCTATTCCAGAGAGTATGATCAATAAAGACATGCCTTCCAGAGTAAGAGCTCATGAGACTCCATTGCTTGCAACAAACATTTTGGTCATTTATCCTTACATGGGTATCTCAGAGAAAAAGGTAGAGGGAAACCACCACTGTATAAGTGAGCTGTGGCAAAAGATTTTAAACATCAGAAACATTGGAAAGATATCAGTTATTCTGAATCACTTCAGGTATTTGAAACTTCTCCTGAAGAGAAACCCAGGGAAAAAAATAATAATGAAATGAAGCCTGTAGGAGTCTGTTTCGATCAGCCTCAGGAGAGAACTCACACTGGAGATAAACTCACTGAGGATGTCTTCATGAGATGCACACATGGCCAGAATGATGAAGAAAACCATAAAGAAGCGAAACAATCTGTTTGTAGTCTCTCAGAAGGATTCCTCATTGATTCCAGTGAGCTTACCAACCATGAAAAAAGTCACATTGAAGAGAAAAGGTACATTTGTAGGCAATGTGGCAAAACATTTAAATATGCAACATGTTTTGAGAAACAGAAAGTAACTCACAAAGGAGAGAAGCCATATGCTTCTATACATTTGGAAAAGCCTTCACCCAATTCAATCATCGTAACAGTCATCAAAGCAGTTACATTGGACAAAAGTCCTATGCTTGTAAGCATTGTGGAGAAAATTTCACCCGTTCTTCTTATCGAAACATTCATAAAGAGCCACACTGGAGAGTAGCCTTATGCATGTAAGCACTGTGGAAAAGCTTTTAACAATCACAGTAGTCATAACATACATGAAAGAAGGCACACAGTAGAGAAACCTTATACATGTAAGCATTGTGGAAAAACCTTCAGCCAGCCCTGTAGTCGTTACAGACATGCAAGAAACCACACTGCAGAGAAACTTTATGCATGTAAGCATTGTGGAAAAGGCTTTTATTGTTCCAGTAATCTGAATATCCATGAAGTAATTCACACTGGAAAGAAGCCTTATACATGTAAGCATTGTGGAAAAGCCTTCAACAATCGCAGTAGTCGTAACAGACATGAAAGGAAGCACACTGCAAAGAAAGCTTATGCATGTAAGCATTGTGGGAAAAACATCACCAGTTCTTCTTATTGAAACATTCATGAAAGAATTCACACTGCAGAGAAAACTTATGCATGTAAGCATTGTGGAAAATCATACACCAGTTCCAGTGCTTGTAGCATTCATGAAAGAATGCACACGGCAGAGAGGAATTATACATGCAAGCATTGTAGAAAAGCCCTTTTCTGTCCTAGGATTCTGAATATGCATGAAATAATTCATATTGGAAAAAACCTTATGCATATAAGCATTGTGGAAAAGCCTTCAAGCACCCCAGTAATTGTAACAGACATGAAAGGAGCCACACTGCAGAGAAGCAGAAGACTTATACATGCAAGCATTGTGGAAAAACTGTTTCTGATGTGGGCATCTGAACATCCATGAAATAATTCACACTGACAAAAGCCTTATGTGTCTAAGCATGGTGGAAAATCACTCAACAACCCCAGTAGTTGTAACAGACATGGAAGGAGTCACACCACAGAGAAACCTTTTTCATGTAGGCATTGTGAAAAAGCCTATACCAGTTTCAGTTCTTGTAAGACTCATGAAAAGAGTTCACATTAGAGAGAATTCTTACACATTTAAGCAGTGTGAAAAAATGTTTACCTGCTCCAATCACCTGAACATTCATAAAAAGATTCACACGGAAAAAAAGTCTTGAGCATGTAAACATCTTGGAAAAGCCTTCAGTGACCTCAGTAGTCATAACATACATGAATGAAGTCATACTTTAGAGAAGCTTTGTTCATGTAAGTATTGTGTAAAACCCTTCATCAATTTCTATTCATGAAAGTTCATGAAAGAGATCATACTGAAGAGAAGTGTTATGCATGTGTGCGTTGTGGGAAATCATTTACCCACTCCAGTCAGCTGAACATCCATGAAAGGGTTCAAATTGGAGAGAAGGTTTTTGCATGTAAACATTACAGGAAACCTTTCAGCACTTCAATTTGTCCTTATTTACATGAAAAACAATCACACTGGAGAGGAACTCTTCGTGTGTAAAAGATGTGGAAACTGTTCATTCTGTAGACAGGCATAAAATAGTACACTTGAAAGTAAAGCCTTATGCACATAAGAATTGTGAAAAGGCCTTCAGCTGCTCTTGTGATCATAACAAACATGAAACTTTCCACACTAGTCATTAGCCTAATGTGTGTAACCATTGTCAGAAAGTCTTTACTAGATTCACTTGGTGGAAGAGTAAAAACATTCACACTGGTTAGAAACCTTTTGTATGTACACATGGTATATAGACTATTTCTTTGTTCTTGTCATTTTAACAAACATAAAGATCTTACACAGTATCTGTAATGTGGGAAAGTCTTCAGCACATCCAGTTTTTGTAACCCTCACACACAGATTTATACTGGAAAGAATTCTAATGCATATATCCGTTCAAGTATTGTTCAAAGTCTTCAGCAGTTCCTGTTGCCATGATGTTCTAAAGAATTCACTTTGTAGATAGACTTTACATGTATAACCACGTGGAAAATCTTTTAGCATTCAAAAAAAAAACAAAACAAGTATCCTAGTTTTGAGTTAGGCATGGTGGTGCATGCCTGAAATTCTAGGACTCTGGAAGTTGAGACAAGGCATTTATGAGTTTGAATCCAGCCTGAACTACATAATGAAATCCTGTCTCAAAGACAAACAAGTAAGCTAACAAACCATGTTTGAAATAGAGATTTACATAAAATTATTGCAGACAGATTATAATAAAGAGAATTTCAAATACTAATTTTAAATAAAGTAAAATGGGATTTCAAGGAAAAGGAATAAAAATGTGATAGGGTATTTTTTATATGGGTTTTCAAAATTTTTTGCTGTCCATGGATCTTTCACAAAATACTGCCTATCTCCACAAATAAAGTCACTGCAAATCTCTTCTGTATTCTGCCTACACGGGTGCTGGCTTCTGCGGCCTGAGTCTCCTCATTTGTTTCTTAGATTTTTTACCCATGGTTCGCTTGACTCTTCCTTCTCCTAATACATCGCAGCTTGCCATAGCATTTGGGTTAATATTTCTTTATACCATCTGGGGAATCACAAACCATACCACAGTCACCTTAGTGTTACCAAGGTGGATTCTGAATTCAGACACCAAGGTGGCATGGGGTGGAGTGTGCATGATCCTTTATCATTTTCTTGGATTTCTGCCTTGGATTCTGTTGTCTTCCCAGAATGGAGGATTTCATTAAATAAACATTTGTTTTCTGTCGAGTCCCCACTTCAGGCAGTTACTGTGTCATTTATGGTGGTGGCTGCCCAACAGGCAGCCTTGGGAAGAATAGAGCTACATCGATCACTAGTAAGAACTTCCAAGAGGCCATGGCTGTGTGAGACTCTGGGCACAATGGAATAAATAGTGAAATCCATTGAATCTACAGAGAAGCCCTTGACCAGCATAGACTGGGAGGTTTCCCCAGAGATTTGTTGTGATAATTTGCCTGCTTCCTTCTGAATCCACAAACTACTTGACTTCCATTGCCAAATCTGTTTAGTTGTCTTTTCTCTGTATATTACACATTGTACATATTATAACACACTTCTACTGTTCTCTTCTTGGATTTTCCCCAAATGTCTTGACAACCTGGATGTTTTGAGCCCTTTTGGAGGCTATCTCACAGGGTGACACAGTCCAAAGGACTCTTGGTTTTGTGGTTTCCAAGTGGAGCAAGTAACTGGCCAGGGGGAGGATTATTCAGATCTTGTATCTCAGAAACAGTGCTCTACCCTCTCAGCAGGGCGCCATCTGGCCCTGGAGCAGGACTCCAGCTGCACTGATTTTGGGACATCAACCTAAGGGCCTTCTCCCTTTAAATCAAGATGCTCAGGACCTTAAGTTCTGGCTGCCTTAAACTGGCTGCCTTTAGCAAGTCATTGTGTTTCTTTGAGTTTTAGTAAATTTGTCTTCAAGAAAGGAGGCTAGATTTGACAGCCATTAAAGTCTTTGCCTCTTGTAAAGATTTTTTTTTTGGTATGGCTTTTCCTAATATACTTAACCTTTACCCCCTATACGACATGAACATATGTATTTCTGTGGCATATTTTGTGACTATGCAAGTTGACTTTCCGTCCTCTTACCCTCGCCAGATCTTTGTAAGAAAGAATAACAGAGTGTTTCGAGAGAATAGCTGGTGTGGAGATGAAGACACAGATGTTCCCCTTGTCTCAGGGCTGTTTAATGGACTCAGCAGTTCTGAGTCCATGCATGATCTGAGCCTCTTAAGCGAGTGTAGCTGTTTCTTCTGATACAAACACCGGTTTCTTCCTTGTTTAGCTGCCTTGCAGGCGTTGAAAAGGAAGAAGAGGTTTGAGAAGCAGCTCTCGCAGGTTGATGGCACCCTGTCCACCATTGAGTTCCAGCGGGAAGCGCTAGAGAACTCGCACACCAACACTGAGGTCTTACGGAACATGGGCTTTGCAGCCAAGGCAATGAAAGCCGTTCATGAAAACATGTGAGTGACCCGGACTCCTTGTCCTTAATGTTGGGGAGAGCCTGTGAAACTGTATGACGGTTCTGGTAGGACGAGATCACTGTTCAGCATATTGAGTGGGATGCTCTCTCAGAAGTAGTTTTGAATTTCCAGTGACAAAATAAAAAAAAAAGAAAAAAATGTATAGAATATTGTTTTTACTGTTTCTCAGTTCCTTTATGAAATCCTATCTATAAAAACCGTAATTTTAGGATTCTAAGGTCAGTGAAGGTGTTAGAACTGTAGAATAGTGGTTGCCAAACTTTGGTGTCTATGAGAATCATCTAGATATAAGCTGCTCAAAAGCTTGCAGACACCCAGCCTCCTTGAATTTAACCGGAGAACAGAACTTCTGTTTTAACCGAGATCCCCAGGCCATGACGGACATCACCTACTATTTGAAAGCCCCTGACATAAAGTATTAGTTTCTGGGACCAGGGTTTATAGTTTTCTGGCTGTAATCCCATTCCCAAAGTTGACTATACCCTGGAAAATGACTTTCTATGTTCCCCTGACTCAATTTCCTTGCCTGTCATTTCTTACTTACTTCTGGTTGTTGAGAAATTCAGTGAGATGCTAGATATAGCACAGTTCCTGCTGCAAGCAAGCACTGAGCAGTCAGTCTCTGAGATGTGGTAAGACACCATGGTCTATGTTCACTGTGGGCAATGAAGACCTGGGACCTGGTCCTCTGCTGATTAGGGACAGTGACAAGTGTCTGTAGACTCCTGGACAAGGAGTAGTAAGTGCTGAGATACAGACTCGGTTCCAGAGGGCGAGAAGAGGCAAAGGTAGCGGTTGGGGTTATGAAGACCTCTTTGAGGCCATCTTCTTGCCTTAGTAACTCATCAGCCAGCTGCCATTTTGACACTTCAGAGATCCAATGTGTACGATTGGACCCCAGTAGCCCACGGTGGTAAACTGAGTGCTGAAGTGGATTGCAAAGCTGAGCTTTACCTTCAAGTCCCTTAGTAGCATGAGACAATGTGCTCTTTGGAGAGAAGTTTAGTCTCAGTCCCAGACTGTGGTTACACATGTTCGGTACCCCCTTTAATAAACACATTTGCTGCAGCTCTAATAAGGATTGCGCATAACGGGTGGTAGGGAAATGATAACAGAATTCCCTTCCATTACCTGTGAAAACATGCCGAAGTTCTCAGTTCTGTAGTAGTAGAGTCTGAGGAACTGAAAAGACGGCGCGGGAGGGGGGGGAGGTCCTCTGGGCTCAGCCTTTCAATGGTGAGGGTACTTCATATTGAAGGACATTCACTTCCTTGCTTTGGCCTGCTTTCTGAGCTGGAGGAAAGATTCAGAAACAGGGTTACAAAAGCAAGCTGGAGCCTGGCCTGGAGGCCTCAGAGACTAACCGTGAAGCAGCTGTCCTGAGCTTGGACCTGCTTGCTCCTGCGCCATTGGCTGAGGTTGTAGCTTCCCTGAGGGTGTGCTGGGTCAAATCCTACTGTTTCAGCGCCCCCCCCCCCCCCCCATTCTCTGCAAGGGAAACAAACTCTCAAGTCAGCATTTCAGAGCTACTGTGTGACTCTCTTTCTCTACAGAGTTGCTTCAGGATTGGCTGCTGAGAACTACTGTGCTATCTCAGTCATGGTGGTTCTCAGCGATTTAAGGGACATCCACATAGGGGCAGTGCACACACTCTACCATGCACCTCCCAAACTCTTCTATTTCAAGTGATTCTTGAAGGTAGAAGGTAATATCGAAAATACATGTGATTGTCCAGGGTTACTAATTTTTTGACACTCTAATTATTTTTTTTTCTTAACTGATGAATGTTGAACCAGGAATTTTTGTTATGGTGCTGAGGTAACTAAAGAGTATATCTGAAATAAACTTATTTTCATATGGAATTAAGTCTAAATTCATAATTGTAAGATGAAACTCTAAAGTTCTAACAAAATGTTCCCCAGGGATCTGAACAAAATTGATGACCTGATGCAGGACATCACAGAGCAGCAGGACATCGCCCAAGAAATCTCAGAAGCCTTTTCTCAGAGGGTTCAGTTTGCCGATGGCTTTGATGAGGTAGGTGCAATCCTAGAGAATGTGCCATTGTGGCTGCTCTCAGGGGCAGCTTCCTATCACATATAGCAGACAATTTGTTTATTGCTTAACAAATAAATGATATTTATGGGAAGTATCATTTTCCAGGCGGGAAATGAGGTGTTAGCAGCTGATTTCAAGGAAAGATGACTATGGTTTGGCAAACAGCTTCTTAATTAGGTTTTTAGATATTAAGAAAAAAGAAAACATTGTGCGGTTATATGAAGTTAGTGATGTTTAATGGTTGGAGTATAAATAGTCTCATTCTGAAGGATCACGTGCTCTCGCATCTGCCCATAGAGCAGACGGTGTCGCTCAGTAGCAGCAGATGACTGTGCTCCTGGCTGCTAAGTTAGGAGTTCGGCTGCTCCGCTCATCCCTCAGTCTATGAAACAAGTAATTGTGGAGTGGCATTGTTTACACTCCCGTTCCGTTCATATCAATCAGTCCCGCAGCCCGGGAAGGCTGTAGCTACATTCGTGGTGCTCACGATGGAAATTTTAATGGTTCCATTCAAGTTGCACATGTCCAGGATGAAGACATTCCTAGGCACAGTCCCAAGGGACAGAATAGCACAGCTTTCTGTTTCTATGATGAGTAGCGAGTGGCCCACAGAGTTTTAGGAAGTGACAGTTTGCTGCTAGCAATGCTCTGAACTGCTATGGGAGTGGGGCTGGAGGGATGGCTCAGAGGTTAAGAGCACTTGTTGCCTTTGCAGAAGACTTGGGCTCTGCTCCCAGCATTCCCAGCAGGGATCAAAATCATCCACTCTTCCAGTATGGATGACGTCCTCTTCTGATCTCTGTGGGCACCAGACACGCATGTGATACGCTTATGGACATGCAGGCAATACACTCGTACACATAAGGTGTTGACCTGTAGGTCAGATCAGTCATGGACTATTTTTATGTAGCTCTCAAGGAAAGAATGGTTTCAACTCTCTTAAGCTGTAGAAAATAAGAAAGAAGAGCCTGAACCAGGAAGGTATCTGGCCTGCAAAGCCCAAAATACTATCTGGCCCTATGTAGAAGAACAGGAGGATTGTGAGTTCAAGGTTAACCTTGGGTCACATGGTGAATTCAAAGCCAACCTGAGATACATAGAGAGGCCTTGTCTTAAAACAACAGCAACAAAAGAACCAAATATGGATCCATGTACATGTGCACAAATTCAAGCATGGGCCCCTTGGATGTAGGGCATGCTGATTTACCCTGGCACTGCCAGTAATGAGCCCTCAATAAATTTGTTGAATGATGGGTGAATAAAGAATCTAATTGGATGAGTACACGGGTAGGCTAGACCTTCTCTGATAGCTCCCTGCTGAATGACTGCACCTTCCAGGTTCCCTAGTGGATGCTGGGAGGGAATGCTATGTATGGTAGTAGTCCTTCCTGCTCCTGTGACACACGTGGGTGACAAGATGCCCCTTTGCTGTGAATAAGCATGGTCCCGCCTAAGGTCAGACCAAGCTCTCCCCCTTCTGTCTTCTCATCATTTCTCATATGACAGCCTCTGAGGTATAGTGAGATGTTCTGTTTAGACTGCCAGTCACTTCTGCAGGAGCTGGAGTGAATTCCCAAATTAGGCAGGTGTGAGCTTGCTCAGATTAAGTAGGTGTGAGCTAACTCAGATTAGGCAGGTGTGAACTATCTCAGATTAGGCAGGTGTGAGCTATCTCAGATTAAGTAGGTGTGAGCTATCTCAGATTAGGCAGGTGTGAGCTATCTCAGATTAGCAGGTGTGAGCTATCTCAGATT